TGACAGGTATCCAATACCTGGCTGGCAGTCTTCTGTCCTCTTCCTTCCAATCCACTTTCCCACAAAGCCTACAGTCTTGATTCAGTCTGTACCGAATCTGTCAGCTCTTCTGAAGTCTTTCTAAGCTATTAGCTGGCCTCTCCCCCTCTATCTTCCTCTAAAAACACTCCTGTCTCACCAAAGCAAACCCACCAGCCTTTCGTATGTTCCTTCTCTTCATATCCCACACAAGCCTGTCTGTTCTGGTCATTTTCCCCAGGCTTGCCTAGCAGCTAACCCTTCTCAGACTCTTCCAATCCTGTCCTCCATCAACTCAACAAATTTCAAGCAAGTTACAATCTGCTTAGAACCTGTCTTCCCAGCTATAAAATGAAGCTACTAACTCCTCAGAATGGGATGGGGCCACAGAAAACGAAATAAATCAGGGCAATCTAGAAAGTGTGTGCTTCCCTTGGGAGGTGAGATGGCCCAACATAATAAAGGTGTCACCAAGCCTGACAACCTCTGAGCTCTATCCCCACATGGTGGACAGAGAACAGACTCCCTGCAATTTATCCCTTGGTCTGCTACACATGAGTGGGAACAAAATAAATACAAGAAATGTTGAAAGTGTGTGCACTTTTGAATATAAGCATTTCTCCCAGTCTCCCCCGCTGCACCCCACACACAGTAAGTAAGTATCCTGTTTGCAGAGTGCCAGGAGACATTCTGACAGGGGGTGGAAGTGTGATCTGGGCCCTTCTGTCTAGCATCTGCAGCCACACAGGGTTCCTAACTGTATGAGCTTTGGGGAATCCTGGAAGAGCAATGAAGTCTCTCCCCAGGCTCGTCGGTTTAATATGCCACTAGAAGCCCACTCAAACATCTAGGCACATGCAAGTCTGTTCTTTAGACTTACTTTGGTCCTCTTTGGCCATCGTAATATTGTCATGGGTTGGGGTGGGAATGTTCATGGCCACTAGGTTTCACTAGGATTTAAGGCTGAATTCACTGTTCATTTTGGTTTTGGTTTTCTATGGTGCTGGGGATAGAACCAGGGTGTCCTGCATGATAGGCAAGCACTGTAACCTTGAGTCACAACCCCAGCCCTAGATTCATTCTAATAATCCTTGGGAAGGAGAAGAGCCTGAATTTGCAGGCCAGATCATCCTAAAGGAGTTGGGAAAGGAGGTTGAAGCTGGGAAGCAAAGGCAATTTGGTTGACTGGGAACACTGAAAGTTTGGCGATAAGAATGATGATGGTAAATGAGAAGAAACGCAGTCCCTGAGGTGAACCTAGATTTGGACTAAGATTCCGTGCGCATGGTCATGGCTTATTTATGCACAAAGAGCATTTTCTGTGTGTCCTCCATTCTTCCAGGCCCACAGTTCACCCACTCACACCGCAAACTGAACAGCATGGGGGGGCGGGGGGAGAGGAGGAACCATACACCTTGAACTGGGAACCAGGAGCTACCCAGAAGCCTGATACCTTTACTGTAGTCCCCATCTGCACACAGGCACCCTAGGCCAAAGGCAGGAGGGCATGGTAAACATGTTTTGCAAGAAGTGCAGGTTAGAGAGCAAAGTACAGGACTCAGGGACCCGAGGTTTACGCGTCCCTGCAATAGGTAAATGGGAGGGGTCTTAGGACCAGGGCAGACTGGCAGGCTCAGCCAGTTTCAGGGCGCACGCGGTGGTGAGAACCCACCACCACTAAGGGGCGGGCGGTACCCAGATCGACTGAGCTTGGAAGGGGACGCCAGGAGCCGTGGGCCTCGAGCATCTCCCACAAATCGCGTCTATTGTGCGTGGGGGGCGCGAAGGAGGGCGGGCGCCCTTCCCCGCCCCCGCCTCCGGCCCGCCTCCGGCCCCCGCCCCACCCCCGGCTCCGCCTCCACCCCGCCTCGCTCCGGCCGCGGCCCCTTCCTCCCGCAGCTGGTGCTGTGGGGCCGCGGAGCCGCACGTCGCTGTCTCTACGGCCCCGGATCCCAGCGCAAAGGTGAGGGAGGCTGGGGAGTGCGGGCGGTGGCAGGGCCGGGGGCCGCGGTCGGGCAAAGCCCTGCCCACGTCCATTCCACCCTCCAAGCTAGGCCAGGCCTTTCTCTCCGCCGAGACCCCCGGTCCCGCATACAAGGTTCTGGAGGGGCTCGGGCCAGGCCTCGGGTCGCGCAGGACGCAGACCCGCTTTCGCGGTGTCGGGGTCCGCAGCGGGGCAGGGACCTGCATAGAGAACAATGTTCCCCTGGATCTGGGTCATGTCTCCTGGCGTCCGGCGGGATCGAAGGAGAGCTTGTCCTCGAGCTGCAGCAGTAGATACTGAGGTTAGATCTGATCAAAGGAGCGAACAGTGGACTGTCCAGGATGGTGGAGGGAGGGGAAGATGAGGGAGAGACGCCCTCAAGACAGGTGAGACCGCCATCCTACTGGGCAAAGGGAAATATGCTGCTAACCCCAGGCAGGTGGACAGCAGGTATGAAGGTCGAGTGCCTATTGAGCCTGTTGTTAGGGGGAGTTCTCCCCTCCTTAGTTTTCTCCACCCTAGGGTCTAACAGGAGATGATCAGAGTTCAGCAGGCAGGCCCTGGGAAGGAACCCAAACTTGGAGTGAAGTGTGGGGTGTGAACTAGAGACCTTGAACCCCCTTAGTAATGAGGGAGGGGTGGCATGCTCCACCTCCACCCCACGCCCATTAACCCGGCCCTCCCGACAGGTTAAGTGGAGGCTTCAGCCCAGCTCCCCCGATCTAGAACTGCAGTCTTCTGTAAGGGGAAAGAAGGCTGCTGAGGTAGCATCCCATCTTCCCTTTACTAACTCTGAGAGTCTCCTCCTTTCTGGGTTAGTTGTCCATTCTCCGTTTCAGGAACTCACCCCAGGTCAGAAGCCTCGCCAGACAAACACACACACAGAGCAAGCTGGCCTTACAGCCAGGACTTTCAGAAAAGGTGTCAGGATTTTCTGCTGTGCGTCTCACCCCAGCAAACACTGGCAGCCTGCAGCCAAGCCTGCAGCAAAAGCTGTACCCCTTTTTGCATTTCACGAGTGCTTGTCTCTGCCCAGATGTAATTGTGTTTGGGAACTCTGAATACATGTGTGCATCTGTACCTGGCCCACTATCAACAGTTTTGTGTGCATGCCCCTATACAAATGTGTGTGGACAAGAATCTCCTGTTGAATAGGAAGCAATGTATGTAGCCCTGCTCGTTTACCTCTGGATGGACGGCATGTAAGCACAACTTTATGTGTATATATTACTTTGTGTGGCCTTGGCCCTTTGTGTGAACATAACTTTTGCTAAGCCTCTGTGGGGGTGCATGCATGACTCTCGTAAATACGTGTGCTCTCCAGCCTACTTGAACATGTTGCACTCCTGTGAGCAAGTGTGTCACATTCGTCGAGAACCACATGACTCAAATTAAGTGCACACATGTGCCCATGCACTCCACATGGAGTTTCTCTGACCTGTGATGTGTTCTGCCTGCCTGATCCTTGGCACTAACTTCCTCCAGCCCTAGGGCTCCCCTTCTGTGCTGAGCAAATAGGAGGCCCCAAATGTAAACAGGTGTGCCTTCACAGCCAGGTGGAGCTCAGATAGCCTGAAACCTCCTGTTATCCCAGCCCTCAAAGCAAGAGCTTGAGGCCCTTCCTGTGGCTCAGAGGTCTCTGTTCTTCCTCTCATACTCTTCCTCTCAACATGCTAACCTTTGACTCCTGAGCAGACCCTCCAAATTCCTGCTATTCCTCTGACGAGCCACATTTCCCTCCCCTCTCTTTAAGGCCATATAGTTAATATTTGACCCAGAAGGAAGGGGAGAGGCTGTGACACCCTCTGACCCTGCCATGGGCGTCTGGTGACATTGGGTGGATCAGGCGTCTTCCACACCTTGCCCAGACCAGGAAATCTTTGGGAGTCCCCCAGAGATAAGAGGGAGGCCACATCACACACCTCCACCTCAGCCATGGGACTAAAGGTGGCCAGCAGTCTTGGGGTCCCATTGTTCACTGTCTCCACATTGCTTGGGTCTTAACTGGTCTCACACACACCGCATTCTCCTGCACAGACATTACACTTGTGCAGCTCAGAGACCTGGATACCTGCACCTCACCCCCACCCCCTCACACTTGTGCTGCCTGCCAGCAGGTAGGTCTAGCAGGTAGGGACTCGTGTAGATGCCCAGACAGAGAGTGCAGTATGGACTCGCATGGGCAGGGCAGAGACGTGCACCCCCTCAGAGAAAATGCCACAGAGAGTATCTAATTAAAGAGAAATTCCAAAGGGAGCTCTCAGGCCAATGGGAAAGAACAAACAAAGGGAAAAGAGGACAAAATTAACAAAGGCCCATTAACTGGCTCTGCTCAGGCCTTCCTGCAGAAGGCTCCCCCGCAGGCAGCGCTGGAAGGACAGGCCTGCCGGAGAACCAATGCGATACCAAGGTGGTCCCAAGCAGTCTTCTGTCTGGGCAAGGACTGTTACCATTGGTATAAGTCAAAGCTAGTCTGGGGTCTCATAAAGACAGCACATTCACCACAGCCTTCTTTACCAGAGCAGAGATGGACAGATTGTCTGTGAGTCTGTCCTGATGTGGGAGTTCTGTGGATGTCCGGCCTCTGTCTTCCACAGCCCCTGAAGTCTGGGTAATGTCCTCCATCTTCCACCCACACACAGATCAAAGGGCTTTCCATTAGAGAGATTTTGATTTTTTGTTTTTGTTTGTTTGCTTGTTTTTCTCCTTCAGAAAACAGAGAGAAACTGGCACTCCCCCCCCACACCCTTGGTTGGGGGCAAGGTGACCCCTTCAGTCAACTACAACTTTGCTGGGACCCTCCACTCTCCATGGAATTTGCCTTTGATGCAGAAAGGCTCGTGACCCACCCGTCCATCCCTCTGACTTCTGAGCTGTGATCCCATGGCCCTTTGTGGCTCCATGTCTCCCCCATTCCAAGATCCTCCATGGCCCCATGACTACTTGATCCCCATGGCCTCATGACCCCTGACCTTCCATGTGGTCATAGCCCGGACTTTGACCCCAGTGATTGCTCTTCCCCTCCAGTCCTGTGACTCTAGCCCCGGCTGCCTTTGGGGTCTCGTTGGTCTAAACTTCCCCAGGAAGATGTGGGGGAGGCTCTGGGCCCTCCTCTTCAGTTTCCTCACAGTAACAGCAGTCCCTGGACCCTCGCTGCGGAGACCATCCCGAGAGCTGGATGCCACCCCACGGATGACCATCTCCTATGAAGGTTAGATTCCCCAACCTTGCAAGGCTGTGTCTGGCAGAGCTGGGGGCAGGAAGTAGCCCCCCCAGATGGCTCTCTGCCCCTCTTGTTCCCAGAGCTCTCCCAGGCCCGGCACTTCAAGGGCCAAGCCCAGAACTACTCAACACTTCTGCTGGAGGAAGCTTCGGAAAGGCTGCTGGTGGGAGCTCGAGGCGCCTTGTTCTCTCTCAGTGCCCGTGACGTCGGAGATGGGGCTCACAAAGAGGTCAGCCCCTGGTGTCTGGACCCAACCGCAGGGTCTTCAGCTCCCTGGGACCAGCACTGTCCTTTCCAGCGCAGAACTCCTTCTGAAATCCATCCCACTCCAGAGCTCTGGAGCCCCGTTTGGTTCTCTGGGTATTGAGGTCAATATTGCAGTCTGTTCCTTTATTCTCCCTAGATCCACTGGGAGGCCTCCCGAGAGATGCAAAGCAAGTGTCATCAGAAAGGGAAAAACAACCAGGTGTGTGATCTGCCCTGTCCCCAGCTCTCCTTTCTTCCTTCTCAACCAGGGTTCTCAGAATTGGGGGGGGGGACACAGATGGAGGGCTACAGATGTGCAACCAACTATACAGCCACAGTGAACATTAGGAAAGGCAGCCTTGGGGTAACCATACAGCTTGGCTTGTCAGTGTCTTAATCCCCGCCCCAGGGGACAGATCTCAAATTATCATTGTAACAATAAGTAGCTGCTAACAGGTAACAACTAGATCTAGTTCTAAAACAATCTTATGATGCATTATTATCCCCATTTCACAGATAGGAAAATGAGACTTTGCTGGAGCTCTAGTCCAAGTACCTGGTGTTCGTGGAGGGACCTTAGCCAAGCATTAGTCCTTTCTAGCTAAAAAGCAGGGTGTCTGCTGGGAGGGGGGATCATGTCTGGCTATGTAACAGCCATTTGGAGAGTATTCTGTATTTATTTACTGACTTTGGAGTTAGGAGTTTTTTTGTTTTGTTTTGTTTTGATACGGGGTCTCACTATCTAGCCTTGGCTGACCTCTAGATTTTACTGTGTAGACCAGGCTGGCCTTGAACTCACAGAGATTGGCCTGTGTCTGCCTCCCAAGTGCTGGTATTAAAGGTGTGTGCCACCACACCTAGCTAGAGAGCTTTTAAAGAATACACATTCTTGGACCAGGGACATGGCTCAGCAGGTAAGGAACTTGCCACCAAGCCTGACAGCCCACATAGCGAAAGGAAAGAACAAATTGTTCCTGATCTTTCTAATGTGTGCCTTAGCATAGGCATACACATACACACGTGAAGTAAGTAGATACAAAACAAACAAACAAAGAAACTAACATATTTCAAGCCAGTTATGGTAGCGTATGCCTGTAATCCTAGCCCTTGGGAAGCTGAGGCTACACACACACACACACACACACACACACACACACACACACACTGAGCATTGTGGTGGTGCATGCCTATGATCGCAGCCCTTGGGAGGCAAGTGAAAGGATTAGGAGTTTAAAGAAGCCTTGAAAACCTTGGCTCCAAACAAGTGTGAGGCTAGCCTGGGCTATATGAAATTTTTTTCTCAAAACAAAAGCGAGAAATAACTCAAGGTCCACCAACCTAGAGATTGTGACGCAAGACTCTGTGCAGTGCCCCTCTAGAACTGTCTGTCAGAGACTCCCTCAGTGCATTGTGGTTAATAAACAGAGTTGATGGGGCTGGTGAACCCATACCACAAAGTGTTATAAATGCCCAACAGAGGGTTTGGACTTTATTGTGACAATGACAGCCATACTGTTTGACGCTTTAGAGGCCCTCATACATGAATCATGGGTTCCAGATTAGTAGGTCTGGTAAGGGCCCAAGATATTTCTGCTGTCTCTAGCCCCCAGACCACTTTGAGCAGCAAAATGTCAGAGAGAATGTCCTCAAACATTGTCCTAAAGGACATTCATTTTCAAGGGAGGAACTGAGTGGTCTAGTATGCTTGGAAAGGACGACATTCCCATCCTACAGTGCACAGTGATATCCTTAAGGCTCTGAGAAGTCATCCAGTAAAGATAGATGTATCTGCTTTCCAGCTCATCTGACTACAGAAGTCTTCCCAAACTGGCCTGTCTCTGTCTTAGGGAGCTACTCTAGGAATGTTTGCCTCATCCCGCATGCCTGATGGATTAAAATAGACTGAGTCTAGAGACGGGAAGAACAATGGAGAGTTTGGGGCATCCTAGGGGTTAGGAAGAAGGCCTGAGCAGGATGACAAGGAGCAGATAATGGCTACAGCAGGCGACAGTTAGAGGAGACAGAGTACTCTATGGATTCAAACTCGGTAACAGACAGGAGGATGATAGAGGAGAACTGGACCGCAGCGTAGGTACCTGAGGGGTGCAGAGAAAGCCAGTGTGGCTGGAGGAGATAGAGTGAGCAGTCGGAGCGAGCCCAGGGGCATGCGGGAATGTGTGTTCAGGGCATCGGGAGCTGCTGCCATGCCATGCTCTATTTTATATCTGTGGCGCTTTGGGAAGCGGATTGGACGGGAGCAAGAGGGTGCTGACAGGTGGGTCTCTGGATGGAAACTTCTGACATGGCGTCTGCGGTCCCCTTCGCAGGCCACCTCGCAGGGAGACAGGCGTACATGAGAGGCTGTTGACAACAGACCCCCTTGTGCTGTTAGAATTTTACTTCTGGAGCATCCCTCACTCACTGTAGCGCAGCAGGTTGGGAGGGGGTCAGGTGGCCACTAGAGTTGTCCAAGCACGAGGTGATGATTATTTGTAGTGGATGAGAATAGTGACGGGGGCCAAGCTCAAAGCTGCTTGGCACAGTGAGTCACGGAGAGGGACTCAATGCAGTGCGGAGAGAGTGGGTAACAGCAAAGGCGCTTCCGCAGCAGAGCAAGGTGGGTGCAGGCTGGGGTGGGAACGACTGGGTGTAAGAGAGAGGGTTTGGGTCAGGAAGGGTGGGAGCTTGCTCTTGGACATAGATCGACTTTGCTTGTGAGACCACAGAGAGAGAGAGACTGAGGATTTGTGGGAGCTCCAAGAGTAGAGAGGAGCATTGCTTAAAAGTAACTCTTGAGCTGGGTGATGTCAGCACACGCCTTTAATCCCAGCACTTGAGAGACAGAGGCAGGCAGGTCTCTGTGAGTTCGAGGCCAGCCTGATCTAATGAGCAAGTTTCAGGACAGCCAGGACTACACAGAGAAACCCTGCCGCAAAAAAAAAAAAAAAAAAAAAAAAAAAAAAAAGTAACTTTTGAGGTCATGTCATGCTGTCATTCTCCTGAAATGTTTCTCTGTCTTTAAGTGCCAATGGCTCCTGAAGGGTAGGTGGAGGGGACTGCAGCAACAGACATAGGAGAAGCTGGCAGAGTGGGGACAGGTAATCGGAGGCATCTTGGAAAGTATATCCTATAGATGGGGGGCAAGAATCAGACTGCAAAGCTAGACTAATAGAGGTGGCTTATTCCAGGCAGAGGAGGCTTATGTTACTGCCTCCCTTTGTTCACAGACGGAGTGCTTCAACCACGTGCGGTTCCTACAGCGGCTCAACGCCACCCACTTTTATGCATGTGGGACCCACGCCTTCCAGCCTCTCTGTGCAGCCATTGTGAGTATCTCTGCCCCAGCCCTGACTGCTAACCCCAAATTGGCCTGACCTGGGGCTGTAGCCCTTGCCTGTCTTCAGGACCATTGACTTATTGGGACCCTCATTCTCCAGGACGCCGAGGCCTTCATCTTGCCTACTAGCTTCGAGGAGGGGAAAGAGAAATGTCCTTATGACCCAGCCCGTGGCTTCACAGGCCTTATCATCGGTGAGCAGGCACTCTGCTGCCAGCCCTCATCCACAGGATGCTATGATCTGAATGTGGATCTTGTTGCTAGGGTTTGCCATTTATGCATGCCATGTTCGCTATTGTACATGACATGTATCTCATGTCTGGATGTCCCTGCCCCAGATGGAGGTCTCTACACAGCTACTCGGTATGAATTCCGGAGCATCCCTGACATCCGCCGCAGCCGCCACCCACACTCTCTGAGAACTGAGGAGGCACCCATGCACTGGCTCAATGGTTAGGAGGGTGTGGCACAGGATGACGGGGGCGGGTAGGGGTCTATTTCTTACTGTTACTCCCTTGGGCAGATGACCATCCCACTTCTAAGTCTCCATGTGAGCCTGTCCTTCCTCACCTGTGTATCGTGGAGGGAGGGGACGGGGTGTGGCTGAGGGAGAAGTCTCAGCCAGTTTCATAAGCCACCCAAATACTCAACCCACAGATGCTGAGTTTGTATTCTCTGTGCTGGTGCGGGAGAGCAAGGCCAGTGTCGTGGGTGACGATGACAAGATTTACTACTTCTTCATGGAACGTGAAGAAGGTTCTAGCAGCTTCACTCAGAGTCGCAGCAGCCACCGTGTGGCTAGAGTAGCCCGTGTGTGCAAGGTACATATGATGAAGTTAGGGTATGGGGAGAGGCTAGACCTCTGACCCTGATTCGGTGTCCTACCTCCCCAGGGAGATCTAGGAGGGAAAAAGATCCTACAGAAGAAATGGACATCCTTCCTGAAGGCGCGTCTCATCTGCCACATTCCACAGTATGAGACACTGCGTGGCGTCTGCAGCCTGGATGCCGATGCATCGGCCCACACACACTTCTATGCAGTCTTCACACTGACAACACAGTGGTGAGCTCCGGAGTGCTGGGAGAGGAAAGGAACTGAGGAAATCTAAGGGCTGGAACAGAGGTCAATGATGAGTGGATACGATCTGTTAGGGAGAGGACTGGGTGTAAAATGAAGTGCCGAGACATGTCAAGCTATCCTAGGGCCACAGGGCATCATGATCCACTGGTGCACATGACAGGCCCGTAGGCCTAAGGTGGGGATGGACCGTGGTAACAGGAGCTCCAGATGGAGTGAGGGCTAAGGGTAGGCTCCATGCAGTGTAAGTCCTCCCCTATGTCCCGTTCTAGGAAGACCCTGGAGGCTTCAGCCATCTGCCGCTATGACCTGGCTGAGATGCAGGCTGTCTTCACAGGCCCCTTCATGGAGTACCAAGATGGTGCCCGGAGATGGGGCCGCTATGAGGGTGGGGTGCCTGAGCCCCGGCCTGGCTCGGTGAGCACTCAGGCCTTGAGCCTATGCTGAGTAGACAAAGCCCTGGGAAGGGAGAAAGGTGGTAGAGTCCTGAGGCTTACCCCCCACCCCCCAACCCAGTGTATCACAGATTCATTGCGCAGCCGAGGCTACAACTCATCCCAAGACTTGCCATCCCTGGTCCTGGACTTTGTGAAGCTGCACCCACTGATGGCTCGGCCTGTGGTACCCACACGTGGGCGGCCCCTGCTGCTGAAGCGCAATGTACGCTACACACATCTCACGGGAACACACGTCAGCACACCTGCTGGACCCACCTATGACCTGCTCTTTCTGGGCACAGGTGCTTCTGACCCAAATCCCTGATTCCCTAATGGCCTTGGTTATCGATACATCTGAGCACAGTAGTTCCTGCCACATTGGCCTGGAGCGCCCAATGTCCTGAGGGACCACTCTGGTGGCTGATTCCTTGTCTCTAACTGTGTGATTCCTGAGCTGTTCCCATTAGGCCTCCTGTGGGGTACTGAGAGCAGATCACACTGGTGGGTTCTGACTTTTGTCCATTCTACATCAGCTGATGGCTGGATCCACAAGGCCGTAGTCCTGGGCTCTGGGATGCACATTATCGAAGAGATACAAGTGTTCAGGGAGCCCCAGTCTGTGGACAATCTAGTCATCTCTCCCATGCAGGTAGACCTGACTTCTGGTCTCATACACTAACAGAGAAGGGGACTGGGGAGCCTGGGTAGAGACTGGAGGGTAACTGACCAACTGTCCACTCTGATTCCAGCACAGCCTCTATGTGGGGGCTGCTAGTGGAGTCATCCAGTTTCCTCTGTCCAGCTGTTCACGCTACCATTCCTGCTACGACTGCATCCTGGCACGGGACCCCTACTGTGGCTGGGACTCCAGCACCCATACCTGCATGGTGGCCACCACCGTAGCCAACAGGTCCCAGGGTAGAGGTTGGAAGTAGGGGTGGGGTACATGTGCCCTCAATGGAGGACAAAAGGCCGCCAACCCATAAGGGATGTGAGCTGTTATTGCTAATCCTGCTGCACATTCCTTCTCGTTCATGAGTCTTGATTTCCTGTTCCCAGGACAGCACTGATACAGGACATAGAGAGAGGAAATCGAGGCTGTGAAAGCAGCAGGGATACAGGTAGGTGGAATTCATAGACTCCCGTGGGTATTTCTGAGTGGCTGTGTTTGTGTGGTTTTGGTGAGGATGATCCAGCACAGGGTAAGTGCTCAACTCATACTTACTTCCCAAAGAAACTGTAAATGAGGAAACAGGTTCGAGATTTGGAGATAGTTGGTGATGTAACTCATGGGTAGAGAGCTCTTCTTGTCTGACATGTGGGTTTACTGTCTAGCAACACACACACACACCAGGGGGGGGTTAGTGAGTTAGGGTTTTATGATCACATCTAAAGAATATTTCTGGTCAGTGGTGGGGCACGCCTTTAGTCCCAGCACTCGGGAGGCAGAGGCAGGTGGATCTCTATGAGTTCAAGGCCAGTCAGGTCTAGAGAGTGAGTTCCAGGACAGCCAGAGCTGTTACACAGAGAAACTCTCTCTCAAATAAATAAAGTATATGCCTGAGTAGTGGGAGAGTGTAAATACAAATAACTAACTGAAATTATTCATAATTACAACTGCCGTGGGGTGCAGAAGGGTAATGCGTTTTTCTCCAAAGGAAGATCATGTAGCAAAGATGATATCAGAAGGCATAAAAAAAAAATAAAAAATAAAGTCAGTAATCAGAGCTGAGCACTTACGTGCCTGGCACTAATCTAAGTACGGCCCTGTGTCTGTTCGCATAGCATTCTATGTGAGAAGCACTATTGTCAACCCCATGAGGGACAACCCCTCTGAGGCATGGGGAATATAAGGAAACTGTCCATGGTTACTCAGCTACAAAGCGGCAGGGTCAGAGTCAACCCTGCCTAAAGCAGTTGGATTGAAGTTTATGCTTTTGATTGAAACCATGCCATCCCCAGGCTGGCCGAGCAGGGGCGAGCATGAATACGGCAATGGCACTCAAGCAGTAGGGTCAGCCCTTACAGAGCTCAGGGGGAAAAGACTGAAGAGGCGAGCAGGGACCATGTGGGCAGTTTTGGTCCTTATATGAGAACCAACAGGAACCCTCTGAAGAGTTTTATACCAAGGAATACTCTGATAAGATTTGTATCATTAAAAGTTTTTTGCTGTTTATTTATTTATTTGGTTTTTCAAGTCAGGGTTTCTCTGTGTAGCCCTGGCTATTTCTGGAACTAGCTCTGTAGACTGAGCTGGCCTCGAACTCACAGAGATCTGCCTGCCTCTGCCTCCAGAGTGCTGGGATTAAAGGCCTGCACCACCACTGCCTAGCTTGTTAAACATTTAAAAAATATTTTAAGAATGCATTTTGCCTGCATGTATGTATGTGCACTATTGCATGCCTGGTGCCTGTGAAAGTTCAAAGAGTATTTCATTCTCTGGAACTGGAGTTATGGGTGTTTGTGAGCCACTATGTACCAAACTCAGGTCCTCTGCAGCAAGGGCAACAAGTAAGTGCTCTTAACCACCGAGCCATCTCTCCAGCCCCGGTATTGAAATTTTTTAAAACTACATTTACTTTGCTCACAAGCATGTGTGGGGTGTGGATGTGCACGTGTAATGCATCTTATGGGAGTCAGTTTTCTCCTTCCTACATGTGGGTCCCAGGGATTGAATTCAGGTTGTCAGGCTTGGCAGCAAACACCTATACTCACTGACCTCAGTCTAGATTTGTGTTTTCAAGGGATCCGCTACAGTAGCAAAGGACAGAGACTGAACGAGGGCCCTAGAGGCCAGGCAGCCATGAGAGGAGAGAAGCCAACAGGTCTGAGTCTCATGAGTGTAGACAGGAGGAGGCGAAGCAAGGGAGACCCCTGGCCCCTGAGCTACAGTGCTGAGCAGCTGGTGCGATTCAAAGAAAGGACTTGGTGTGGTTGATGAATGAGCCTTTGGCCTTGGTGAGATTCCCAGCACATGGCAAACGGTTAAGTCCGGTGTTCCGGAAAGAAAGCTGTGCTGAAGGTAAAGATCAAGAGTCCTTGGTAGATGGCAGAGACTGAAACCACAGGCAAGTGGAGATTAGAGAAGGAAAAAAGGCCCTTCTTCCCGGGAAGGGCCAGTGTGCACCCTGGGATGCACGCACTCACAGGCTTGCTTAGCTGTCACCGATTCTAAACTTGGTGTCTGGAGCCAAGAATTTAGCTATCTACAGTCTGTCCTGCTTTTTCCAATGATGTCTGGGACGGGCAGATATTGATCTTTCCTCTCCCATCCTCCCCAGGACCGCCACCACCACTGAAGACTCGCTCTGTGCTCCGGGGTGATGATGTCCTCCTGCCTTGCGACCAGCCATCTAACCTGGCCCGAGCTTTGTGGCTACTCAATGGGAGCAAGAGCCTGAGTGACGGGCAGGATGGCTACCGCGTGGGAGTGGATGGGCTGCTGGTAACAGACACGCAGCTGGAGCACAGTGGCAACTATGGCTGCTATGCCGAGGAGAATGGTCTCCGTATGCTGCTGGCTTCCTACAGCCTCACTGTCCGGCCAGCCACCCCTGCCCCGGCTCCACAAGCCCCTGGCATGCCCGGGGCACAGCTGGCACATGACATGAGGTTGTTCTATGTGGTAGCCATCGCTATACTCGGTGGCCTGTGCCTCATCCTGGCATCTTCCCTCCTCTATGTGGCATGCCTGAAGGAAGGCAGACGAGGTCGAAGGCGAAAGTACTCATTAGGTCGGGCTGGCCGGGCGGGGGGCTCAGCCGTGCAACTGCAGACAGTCTCAGGCCAGTGTCCTGGAGAAGAAGATGAAGGTGATGATGGAGAGGGGCCTGGGGGCCTGGAGAGTGGCTGCCTCCAGATCATCCCTGGGGAAGGAGCCCCAGCCCCACCCCCTCCACCGCCACCCCCACCCCCGGCTGAGCTGACCAATGGATTGGTGGCACTGCCCAGCCGGCTGCGGAGGATGAATGGCAATAGTTATGTGCTCCTGAGGCAGAGCAACAATGGAGTGCCAGCGGGGCCCTGCTCCTTTGCAGAGGAGCTCAGCAGAATCCTGGAGAAGAGGAAGCACACACAGCTTGTAGAGCAGCTAGACGAGAGCTCAGTTTGAGCCTAGCTTCCCAAACAAATGCTCTTCCAAGCCAGCCTGTCTGCCCTGGGCTGGGCCTCTGCCTCCCCAACACAGCCATCCTTCATCCTCCCAACTCCATTCCCCTCTTCCAACTTTTTGTTGGATGTCTCTGTAGGGCTGGCCAGAGTCATGGTTAGCCAAAACCCCTCTTCAGTCTCCAAGGCACACGTGGGAGCAGCCCAGGCCCACCGGTGCTCCTTAAAGGTAGGTGCTCCCTCAGGACCAAGTACTCTGCAAACCCAGACCCAGTTTCTAGCCCTTAACCTAAAAGCCTGGGAGGAGAGGATTGTCTTCCTATCCCATTACCTGCCCAACCTTCCTCTTCTTCTCAGGTAGGGCTCTGCAGGTCCAGATGGCCTCAATGTCACCACCCCCTGCACAGCACAGCTCTCTGTGTGTGCTGGGTAGTCCTGAATTCAGACGAGACCTCTCTCTGCCAGCCACCTGAGTCCTGCTGACATTCACATGTGCACATGGAAGAATGTTTATCAGCTGGGCTGCACTGTCCCCTCCCCCTGTCAGTGCATCCTAGTTTCATTCCTCCTGATCCCAATTGTCACTTTCCTATCTAGTCTAGTCTTTCCAGTCCCAGCCCTGTGTGGTAAGCCTTTGGCAAGAAGACTGGGAATAGGCCAGCCTGGGAGGTAAGAAACACCCCTCCCCTCTTCTCCCTTCCTGTGCAGCCCTTGTGAGTCAGCCTACCCATTCCTCTCATTCACATGCGAGAGTGCCAGCGCTCCAGGCATGACACCCCCCCCACCCCCCCACCCCCCCACCCCCCCGCCACACACACACAGTAACACACCCATATCGCCCGCTTACATTTCCACCCACGCACACATTCGGAACCTCCCTGTGCTGCCTCAGTCAGACCTGTGCCTACTAGGTTTGGTCCATGGATATTTCAAAGGGAGATTTCCGCTGCCATTTAGCTGTCCTCACAAAACTAGGACAAGTGACCAACACTGCACTCAATGAGCCAGCCTCCCTCTTAGGGACCAAGCAATTGCTTCTCCTAGACCAGAGCAGAGGGGAAGTGACCAGATATCTCACCTGGCACATGAAGCCCGTTCTTGGAACTATGCAAAGGGCAGAGGCTGGGAGTTTGGATGCTTGGCTCCCATTCCTGTCCTACCTCACCAGGGCACTTTCAAGGTCCAAGGGCCTCAGACGTCTTCAGGCCCGTATGGGACAATCAAGCCTGACTGAGCTCTCCCATCCCACTTGGGTGAGGATGACTGTTATTTTTGTAGCTGAGAACGTGGAACCCCACGAGTTTTTACTGCCCTTCACCTGTACCTCTCCCACTCTACCCCACAATGAATGTATTTATTGTGTGAATGGCTGTACTTCTTCAGGAATGCCCCCCACTCATCACCTAGGTGGGTGGAACAGGCATGTGATGGAACGGGGAGCCTGGGCTCTGCTCCTCCTCATGTTGGTTAATAAAAGCCCTCTTTCCCCACAGCTTTGAGTGTCTGCTTGGTCTAGACTGGCTTTACCAGGGACAGGTTTCTGGCCAATGGAGAAGGCGCTACAGAGATTTCTTCATCCTGCATTGGCTTTGCTCCCCATAACAATATTTACATAAGCAATGAGATCCTCCTTTGCTGCTCTCCTGAGCTGGGCAGGCACAGGGGCCATTGGCTAAGGCTCATACTAGTCACTGATGACGAGGGTGACAAAAATCACAGCAGCTCAAGAACTCACCAGGATTCCTAGCTACTCTCTTCCTCTGGCTTTATCTTTTCAGGTAGGAATCTCACTGTTGCTCAGGCTGGAGACAAGCTCAGCCTCCTGGATATGTGGACTACAGACACACACATCCCACCCAATTTGTTTGTGTGCACCCGGATTGCACTTGTCAGGGTGTGTGGAGGTCAGAACTCAGAATGGTGGCTGCTTCTTCCACTGAGTCCTGGGGGTCAAACTCAGGTTGCCAGTGATTGTCTCTACCCACTGAACCATCTCGCCAGCTCTGCCCTCTAATGTAGAGACGAGGCTGGCCTTGAACTCATCCGTCTGCCTGCTTCTGTCTTTTGAGTGCTGGTAATTAAAGCTGTACCACCAGACCAAGGTCTTTCCCTTTCCTGTCACCCATGCACACTTCATGTGTTTGGGTGTTTTGTCTGTGTGCAGCCTGTGTACCACCTGCATGTCTGATGCCCTCAAGAGACCAGGAAAGTCAGAGCCCCTGGAACTGGAGCTACAGATGATGTAGGTTGCCACGGGGGTGCTGGGAATTGAGTCTGAGCTTTCTGGAAGAACAGAAAATACTCTTAACCCCTGAACCATGAAGACACTTCTTGCCAACCCTTGTGTTTGTCCCTGACAAGTTGTTCAGCACTTCCCACTCCCTGATCGAGGGAAAGGTAAGGGCTCATTTCTGTGCAAAGAATTTTGAAGTAGGAATGCAGTCAGGACTACATCAAGCCTTGTTATCTTTAACTGTTCTGCCTTTGACAGTAACCACTGAAATATTTTATGTTGTTTCTGGTTTCAGAATTAAAAGTAGGGCTTATGCTTAAAATATGCACACATTTTGAAGCAGGTATAGTAATGCACACCCTTAGTCACAGCATTTGGGAGGCAGAGGCAAGCCAGTCTGAGTTCGAGGCCAACCTGGTCTACATAGAGAGTTTCAGGGAGCAACACAGTGAGACTCTGACTTTAAAAAAAAAAAAAAAAAAAAATCACATTTTGAAACTTGACCTCAAGGGGCTGAGAAATGGCTCAGCTTCCAGAAGACCTAGGTTCAATTCCCAGACCCCACAAGGAGAACCACAAATGTCTGTAACTCCAGTGTCAGGGGATTTCCCACAGTCTTCTGTTCTGCAGGGTTACTGCAAGCCCATAGTACAAAGACATACGAGAGCAATCTCCAAATGCAGTCTTAGTAAGTTTAATGACTTCAGCTTTCTAATCTGCACACAAACACACACAGATATAAGGTGCCTTGCCCAATGCCAGGCCATAGCAAGAGCAAAGGGCATCGTGAGTCCGCCAGAAACCAGCCTCCAGACCCTTCCGTGTTTGGAATCAGTTCTCTTTGGACTCCAGAAAGTAAGGACCCTGTACAACACCTGGAAGCCTTCTCACATCACAGCTCGCAAGGAGGCCAACTGAATCAGAATTAGGGAAGTCACAAGGTCACTGTACCTAGCAGTGGGCAATTCTAGCCAGCTCTTCTTTACCCCGGGCCACGCCCCCGCTGATCGGCTCCTTGTATTTGCCTGAGCTTGACATCCGAAAGAGGAACCCAAGGCCTGGTTCTTCACTGTGCCTGCACCAAAGCTGGAGCAGGATCCTCGAGTTCTCTGGGCCGCAGCCCGCGGGGGGCCGTCCGTTTGTTGGTGAAGGGGTGCCACTGGCCCTGGATGCTAGGGTTGTCCGTGTGGAAGGGCTTGCGGATACGGATCACATCCAAACCGGACTGGTCTGCCAGCTTCTGCACCAGTGACGCGATCTCCTCCACCGACTTGCAGTTGACAGTTTCCTCGCGCACGGCCCCGTTAACTGGCAGCGGGGAGTGGGGATGAGTGGAAACGGCCAGGTCGGACGTCAAACACATCGAACCCAGCGCGCCAGCCGCGATCCCGCCCTCGTGCCCTCCCGCGGCCCCACTCACGGTATTCGGCCACAATTCTGGGCACGGCGCACGGCCGCGGGTTCACGTATATCACGACCCCGGGGTTCCGTCGGGCGAAGTCGGTCACTTCGCGTTCCACGAACTCCCTGCGAGGCCCAACGAGGGTGAGAGCCGTGACCCGGACCCAGTCCCGCCGCTGCCCGCCCCCTCACCCCGGTCCTCCCGCTTGCGCGGGCCTCACCTGGCGCCGCGGGACGAGGGCGCATCCCGGCTGAGGCTGAGGCTGAGGCGCTGCAGCTGCTGCACGTAGCGACCCAGCCCGTTATGGAGCACGCTCGTCAGGAAGCGGCTCGGGGTCCCGCGCGCGGTCATGGCTACCGGACGGTGAGCGGGAGGGCGGGACTGGCCGGCGGCTTCCGGTTCCGGGGTCATGCGCTCCCCGGAGAGTTTTGCTTCCGAGGTCGCAGCGGGAGGCGCGTGCGGGCGGCCCACGTTCCGGACTGAAGGGTAGGAAGGAGAGGTGGCGCGAAGCTGAGGCGGGAGCTTGGGGCTCCTGCCGCGGAGGGTAGAGCCCGGGAGGCAGTGAGAGGGCCGGGTGTGTGGGCGGCCCCCGCGCGCGCCGGGAGCCGAGGAGGGCGCCTGGGGCCGGGGTTCAGGCAGGATGCAGAGCGCTGTAGAGATGAGGATGGCGAGAAGAGGCCGTGGAGGGGTGGTAGAGGTGAGGAGATGATGCGGAGACGCCGTTTAGATCGAGGCACCGGAGAGGGCCCTCGAAGTGAGCTGGTGGAGAGAAAGTGTAAAGGACCTCGAGAGGGACGTCGCGTGCAGAGATGTCAAGTAGCAATGTACAGGCAGCCAAGGGGACTAAGAAGGGTGTTCGTCAGGGAGAAGTTTGAGGAGAGAGAAAGAGAAGCCAGCTGCGGTGAGTCCTGTGAGTGCCCTGTGGAAGGCTCCTAGGGTCTGGCCTAGTGAAGGCACCAAGCCAGACACCAAAAGTTTTTGCAGAAGAGGCATCCCACTGCATTAGGAATGTGGCTCCTGCTCCGACGTGCGTATCCTGTCCGGATCTTGCTGCCACTGCGAGGGGAGTGGGTGGGTCGGAGGGGCTTGCCCCGAAGCTTGGCTCCAGGCCCTCCTCGCAGAAGGTACAGGAAGGAAGCTCTCCCAGCCTTAGAGATGCCAGTGTCGCCTGTGACTACATCTGAAATCCGCCAGTATCTACGGGCGCATGGGATACCGTTCCAGGATGGCCACAGTTGTCTTCGGGCACCGAGCCCTTTTGTGGGGTCCTCAGACTTCAACAATCAGAAGAAGGATTCTACAGCTTCCTTCTGCCTCTTCATTGACAAGACCACAGGACACTTTCTCTGCATGACTAGCCTAGCAGAAGGAAGCTGGGAAGACTTCCAGGCCAGTGTGGAGGGGCGAGGGGATGGACCTAAAGAGGGAGTCCTACTTACTGAGGGCCCAGAAGCTGAGGACAGGGAGCAGGTGCTGAGAATCTGGAACCGAGCTGTACCTCTTTGGGAGCTGCCTGACCCTGAGGAGGCCAAGCTGGCTCGTGTGATGTTTGGCCTTACCAAGGTGACAGATGACACACTCAAGAAGTTCAGTGTCCGTTATCTTCGATCTACTCGAAGTTTGGTCTTCCCTTGGTTCACCCCTGGGGCCTCAGGATTACGTGGCCTGAAGCTACTGGGCGCAGAAGGTCAGGGGGATGGGGTACAGTATGTGGAGACCACCATTCCCCGGCCTGGTGCCTACCACAACCTATTTGGATTACCACTGATCAGCCGTCGAGATGCTGAGGTGGTCCTGACAAGTCGTGAGCTGGACAGCCTGGCTTTGAGCCAGTCCACGGGGCTGCCCACCCTTTCCCTACCCCGAGGAACAGTCTGTTTGCCCCCAGCTTTACTCCCTTACCTTGAACAGTTCCGACGGATTGTGTTCTGGCTAGGGGATGACCTTCGGGCCTGGGAGGCCGCCAAACTGTTTGCCCGAAAACTCAACCCCAAGCGATGCTCTTTGGTGAGGCCTGGTAACCAGCAGCCTCGTCCCCTGGAGGCCTTAAACCAAAGCTTGAGTCTTTCTCGTATCCTTCGCACTGCCCTCCCTGCCTGGCACAAGTCTATTGTGTCCTTCCGGCAGCTCCGTGAGGAGGTTCTAGGAGAGCTATTGAATGTGGAGCAAGCGGCTGGTGTTCGCTGGAGTCGATTCCCAGACCTCAACCGTCTGCTGAAGGGGCATCGGAAGGGCGAGCTGACAGTCTTCACAGGTGCCTCTAGGAAGTCTCTGTTTGGGGCTGAAGAGATGGCTTAGTGGTTAAGAGCACTGGCTCTCTTGCAGAGGACTGGAGTTGGATTTCTAGCACCCATATAATGGCTCATAACTGTCTGTAGCTCCAGTTCATGGGGATCTGGTGCCATCCTCTGACCTCTGGGGACATCAGGCATGCTTATGGTCACAGACATACATGCAGATGAAACACGTATACTAATAAAATAATGGGTTTTTTGGTTTTGTTTTTTCAAGACAGGGTTTCTCTGTGGTTTTGGAGGCTGTCCTGGAACTAGCTCTTCTAGACCAGGCTGGTCTTGAATTCACAGAGATCCACCTGCCTCCCAAGTGCTGGGACTAAAGGCGTGTACCACCAATGCCTGGCTCAATTATTATTTTGGGGGTTTATTTATTATGTATATGAATGTTTTCCCTGCATGTGTATGTATGCACAGCATGTGTGCCTGGTGCTGTCAGAAGCCAGAAGTCATCATATCCCTTGGAACTGGACCTACAGATGGTCGTGAGCCACCATGTGGGTGCTAGGAATCATATCTACATCTTCTGCAAGAACAAGTGCTTTCAAGTACTGCTGCATCTCTCCAGTCCCCTACTGGCAGGGTTAAAAACGGGCTTCCTGCTGGGCACCTTTAATCTGTGAGTTCGAGGCCAGCCTCGAGTGCCAGGACAGGCTCCAAAGCGACACAGAGAAACCCTGTCTGAAAAAGGAGGGGGGGGGTGCTTCCCCTCCCAACTTTTACTAGAATCTTGGCTCAAGAACTAGAGTTCCCTCCTAACCCAGAGCTGTGTCTATCCCCCATAGGACCCACAGGCAGTGGGAAGACAACATTCATTAGTGAGTATGCCCTGGATTTATGCACCCAAGGGGTGAACACACTTTGGGGTAGCTTTGAGATCAGCAATGTGAGGCTAGCCCGGGTTATGCTGACGCAGTTTGCGGTAGCACGGCTGGAAGAGCAACTGGACAAGTATGACGAGTGGGCAGACCGCTTTGAGGACCTGCCTCTCTACTTCATGACTTTCCATGGACAACAGAGTATCAGGTAAGAAGACTGTCAAAGGCCGCTGCTTTTCAAAGTTTTAAATGCTTATTTATTTGGAGCAGAGTCTCTCTCGGTAGCTCTGACTGTCTTGGAACCTCACTATGTAGAGCAGGCTCTGCCTTCAGAATGCTGGGGTTAAGGACGCGCACCACGGTGCCTGGCCTTCACTTTCACTTTTGAGAGATTCCCAACACATCATACTTTTATTCCTTTTCTGGCTCCAGTGAGAGTTATCTTCCAGGTGTCTTTAGACAGGTTTGTGCCTTCCGAAGCATGGGAAGTCAGAAGAGCTGATGATGTCAGTGTTCTCAGATGCACGCTCTTCTCCCTGCAGAGCCCTGAGCTTGCCTGTAGTTGACTTTTTAAATCACTGCTTCTCTTTTCCAGGTCTGTAATAGACACAATGCAACATGCTGTCTACGTCTATGACGTCTGTCATGTAGTCATTGACAACTTGCAGTTCATGATGGGTCATGAGCAGCTCTCTACTGACAGGTGAATTCTTTTGTCTGACTCAAACACACTTGTCTTCTCATGAAGCTGGCCTCTAGGTGCGTTCATAGTACTGTTATTTTCTGAGAGGTCATGGCAGTGGGGAGTTGTCCAGGGACCTGAGTGCGAATCCTTAAGTAGAAGGAAGTGTAATGGAGCTGGGATATTAGTGTGGAATGACAGGCTCAAGAGTTTATGTATGTTCCACTTAATAACCTCTTCTGTTGCTGAACTTCACCGCTGCAGGATTGCAGCTCAAGACTACATCGTTGGAGCTTTTCGGAAGTTTGCTACAGACAATAGCTGCCATGTGACCCTGGTTATTCATCCACGGAAGGAGGATGATGACAAGGAACTGCAGACAGCATCCATTTTTGGCTCAGCCAAAGTGAGTTGGCTTTAAGGCGCTCAAGTTTTAAAGAGTTAGAGCCAGGCGTAACTAGAAACAGTCTTCATTCAGCCTTAGATCCTCATGACTGTGATTCTGGGGCCGTGAAATGAGGAATACAGGAGCCAGGAATACAAGGGATTGGTTGGTTGTTTGCCATCTAGGAGCTGACATCTGTTGGTAGGCAAAGAGTGAGGTCATAATTGCAGCTTAGTGGGATGAGAACTGTAATAGGCAGTACAAGTACTTGGGACGTGACCTAAGTCATCCTGTGACATCTAGGGAGACTTCCTAGTGGATGCACCAACAAAAGTTACATGGAGGTTTCCAGACAGTAAGTGTCAGATCATCAAATAAATGGGAAGGCCTTCTGGGCCATAGGACCAGCCTCATCCTAGAGCTTCCTTTTATATATCAGGCCTGAGCTAGACAAGGGGCATTCAGGTTGAGGAGCAAAACTAGGTTGCTTTGGGCCAAACAAGGAACAAGAATAATGCAGAAGTTTAAAAAAAATTGGTACTTTCTTTAGGGGATCAAAAAGCGGTCATTAGTGGAATGACACAGGAATGGTAAAAGTAAGCGGGGTAGCTCAGAAAGTCCTCTGTAGAGGAGAGGCACTGCACAGAGGAGCAGCAGCATGAAGTCTGAGGCAGTGGCAAGCTTGTTATGAGGCTGGGAGACCCGGCAGCTCTAGCATCGATTGTGATTAGTTGTTTAAAGAGCTGGCTGGTAAGGGGAACTTTTCCCTTTTCCCATTCTTGCCACTCCTCCCTGAACCTTCAACCTTCCTCTCACAGTCTTCTTTCTGCTGCGCTCTCTCCTCTAGGCCAGCCAAGAAGCAGACAATGTTCTGATCCTGCAGGATAGGAAGCTGGTGACCGGGCCAGGGAAGCGGTATCTGCAGGTGTCCAAGAATCGTTTTGACGGAGATGTAGGTGTCTTCCCACTTGAGTTCAACAAGGGTTCCCTTACCTTCTCCATCCCACCGAAGAGCAAAGCCCGACTCAAGAAGATCAAGGATGACAATGGACTAGTGGCCAAAAAGTCCTCTTCCGGCAAAAAAGGTGCTGGGCACCAGAACTCTGAGACTTGCCTAGGCCAGGACCCCAGCTCCTTCCAGCCAGACACCAAGTCCTCAGGGTGAAAGCTGTGCACAGCTGCTTGCTAAAGGGAGCTTGACGGGCCAGGCTGACACAGACCCTTGGCCTTTTGCTAGGGCTCTTCTTCCATAAAGTCCCGAG